TAGGAAGTATTTAGGAGGTATGGCCTGTTGGAGAAGGAATGGCAAGGGGTGTGGACTTTGAGAATTTAAGCCTAAGCCTCTTTCTCTGTCTCTATCTTGCTGATCAGATGTGAGCTTTTGGCTACTGCTCCAGAGCTATGCCTGCCTGCCTGCCCCCATGCTTCCCTCCATGATGATCATGGACTAACCTTTTAAAACTGTAAGCAACTCCTGGTTAAGTGCTTTCTCCTTTAAGTTGCCTTGGTCATGGTATCGCTTTACAGCAATAGAATGGTAACTAAGATGGGGAAAATTAAGGATGGGAAGTTACAACATCTGTATCAAAGTAGATTTCAGAATTAAATAGTGTCAGGACTGTTCGCAATAGCAGGTGTCTGCTCTCTAGAGTGTAACAACCTAACTTAAGATTGTGTATATTTAGGAATATATAGCATTCAATGTTCCTTCCTATAGAGGGTTTTTTATTCTTAATTAATAAAACAGGTAATATGAACAAACTCACAGTTGTAGTCCTTAAGAGTTTGTTGTTTAATTATATATACTGTATGTGACTCTGTGTAGGTTTGAACATATGTGTACAGTGTCTACAGAGGCCAGAAGAGGGCTTCTGGAGCTGGAGTTACAGGCAGTTGTGAACCTCCTGATGTGGGTGCTTGGAATTAAACTCAGCTCCTCTGGAAGAGCAGTACATACTTTTAAGTCACTGAGCCATCTCTCCAGTGCCAATACACTTGTAGTCTTTAAATACTCCATTCCAGTAACTGGTAAAAGCCAGTTGGTGACAGATCATGACTGAATAGAAAGTCTGAAGAGTTCTGTCGCCACATTGAACTGATAGGCATTTATAAAAAGTATCAAACAACTCAAAATACACATTATAGTATGTGTGGGGTGTTTATAAAGACACATTCTGGGTCATAAACTTTAAGATATTATATTTAATATTTTTACATGCATATAATGTGCTTTGATCTCTTAAATATTTAAAAGAATTGAAGTATCTTCTACTTTTATCCTTATTCAGTTAGAAATTAGTAATAGAGGGGCTGGAGAGATGGCTCAGTGGCTAAGGTATTTGCCATGCAAGGGTTTGGATACCTGGAATAAATGCTGGGTAGGAGTAGCAGTCTGTCTGTAATTCCAGCACTTGGAAGAGGGAGGTGGAATCCTGGAAGCAAGCTATAGCCAGACCATCTTGTAGTTCAATTGAGAGATCTTGCCTCAGTGAATAAGGTGGAAAGCAGTTGAGGAACGCTCCTGTTGTCAACCTTGGACCCCTACACGCACACACTTGTAACACACACACACTTGTAACACACACACACACACACACACACACACACACACACACACACACACACACACACACGACTTAGTAATGACACCTGGGAAACATTAGTAATAGACACCTGGAAAATCCCCAAATGTTTGGAGGTTAATACATCTTTACATATGAGTCAAGAGGGGATCTGAAAAGAAACTGGAATATACTCTTGATTAACTGAAGACATAACATGTGAACACTTGTGAGCTCCATCTACTGTAGTGCTTAGTAGAGAAATGTAAAACAATGCTTGTGTTATGATAGGCACTAAGTCTTAAACCAATAACTTGTTTTTCCCTTAAGAATATAGGTATATGAGAGCAAACTGAACTTAAAGTAAACAAACAAACAAACAAAAAAGAAAAATATCAAATAGAAAGCTACACAAAGCAGAGTCCAGAGAATCTGTGTAACAAAAAGCTGAGTCTTTGAAATGATCAATGATATTGATAGTCCTCTGTCTATAATGACTAAAGAGGGGAGAAACAGTAACCAGGATCCAGAATAACAACAACTTTTTTCAGATAGAGCGCAATTGTTTTATTTCATATTCAGAATTTTTCTAATTCTTCCCCAGAGTGTCATTGTGGTTTTTTTTTGTTTTTGCTTTTTTGTTTTTTTTTTTTTGTTTTTTCGAGACAGGGTTTCTCTGTGTAGCTTTGTGCCTTTCCTGGATCTCGCTCTGTAGCCCAGGCTGGCCTCGAACTCACAGAGATCTGCCTGCCTCTGCCTCCTGAGTGCTGGGATTAAAGGCGTGCACCACTGCCCGGCCATTGTGTTTTTTATAAACAAGATTCACTTAGACGTTTAGATGAAAAAGAACATTATAGACTAATTCATCTTGTTTTTAATCAGAAAGTGAGTTGTGTCCTAGACCACTGATGCATTTGTTGGCCAGGCTTAGGTTGGTTCCTGTAGCTTCCCTGTAAAGATGTGACTTTGTCTTTGCAACTGTTAAGCGGTCTGTTGGGAATACTTTTGTACCAAATGAATACAGCTAACTACAGCTGTTTCTTGGTATCTTTAGGGTTATTGATTCTAGGAAGTCCACTTAAATTTGTGGCTGCTTAAATCCTTACATAGCATGGCATCATATTAGCATAAACCCTCCACATATCCTTCTGTGTACTTTAAATGGTTTCTAGGTTACTTATGCCTAATTCAGTGTAGTTCACATGTAAATAAATAGTTGTTATATATTGCTTAGAAAATAATATAAAAAAGATATATTTAATACAGTTACAGATTTGTGAAACTTCCCATCCTTGGGTTGTGTCCATAAATACAGAGCCCACTGGTGTGGGGGCTCTATCTGTCTCCATCTGTCTTTTATCTAAATGTTTGGACATCTGTGGATCTCTGTAAAGTTGGTTATTTCATTAATTTTCCAAAGTGGTGGTTTTTATTTTTTCCTCACTTGTTCTGCACTTACTAGTGTTCTTCTGAAAGAAAATAGTTCTTTCTTCCTTTAACCTCTTTTTTCCCCTCCCAGGCCCTCTCTAGAGCCTCTTTTGTATCACTCTAGGTTCACAGACTTTTGTTTATTCAATATTTCACATGCTCTTTAATGGTTTAATGAAATTGGTATAATATGTTATACTCATTTAAATTTAAAAAGTGTAAGGCTTGCCTTTTACTTGTTTATCGTTGGAAGTTGTGAATTTTTCTTAATAGTTTATTTGAGAAAATATGTTCAATAACACATCAGAGTTTCTCATTCCCGACTTGTCCATTTGATTTGTTTTCTTTGTAAAACTGATGCCCTCTTCTGGTCTGTGAGGGCATGCACACATGCGTCCTGTATTCTTAGACACACACATGTAAACTTAAAAAATAATCATCTTTTAAAGTAATTTTGGGTTTGATCTAAAGGTTAAATATTTTATATTTATATATAATGTTTGTCTTTCATTTTTTAATAACAAATAAGAGGTCACCGCAGTGAGAATATTTGTTTCCTTAACATTTCTTTATCATTAACAGCAATTAAAAATAACTGGAGATAAATTTCCATTTTAAAGGATTTATGCAATTTTTTTAAGTATTAGAAGGAAATCATATTTAAATGATAGGTATTTTTTTAATAGTACTGGGATTTGAATGCAAGGCTCATGCATGCTAGACGTGTGGTCGGTCTAAGCAGCTAGCAGTATCCCCAGCCCTCTTTTTTACTTTTTGTCTTGATACATGGTCTTACTAAGTTGTACATAGTGACCGGAATTTCCTCTGTAGCCCCATCTAACTTTGAATTTTTAATTCTCCCCCTTAGCTTCCCAGCTGCTTCAGTTATAGGCTTGTGACACTATGCCTGATAGAGTTAAAACATACACACACACACACACACACACACACACACACACACACACACACGCACGCACGCACGCACACACCCATTTTGGGCATATGGATAGGAATGGTTGTGAACATTTTGGGGGGCCATGTATTGGAGGAGATCAGAATATGCATTTTTGTTACAGAAACCTGTTCTGGAGTACTCTGCCTTTTGTAATTGTTTATTTCTTCCCAATGTTTATGAATGTGACAGTCACATGTACTGTCTTACTGTTCTATTTTGTATTTACAAGTACTATTATATGTTGTCTTGGGAATAAGTAAAAACGTTGTATCATTTTTAAAAGTAGCTCTAAATTGCTCGGTGGACATTTGAATAAAATTAAAACATAGAAATGAGGGTGTTTACCAACACCCTTAGCTTTATTTATTTATTTATTTTTTTACTTACTGCTTTTCTGCTGCAGCTTTTATATGGAATGAGCTTTAAGAAACTGCAGGTGGCCTCGTGGCATCTGTGACTCCAGTGGAGTAGAGAGGGAAGGGGAGATGTCAGGCCTCTGCCGTTGGTTTGTGCAGCATCTGCTTCAACTTCTTTTCTTACACTAATCCATGCACATGTTGTAAAGAAATTGGCATGTGTAAAGCAAATGAAGTTTTGCTTCCTTAGGGTTTAAGAACTTCACCTTGTTTGATGTGCCATTTTTTACTTTCAATTAATTTAAATAGAATTTTTAGTCTTTAAATGCTTCTGTACTCTAGTGAACTAAATAAGCAGTCTTAAGGTATTATATTAACCATACTGAAAAGAGTAAAAGGGAAGTTAATGTTTTTTGTTTACCTCAACTTTAAATAATATTTCAAACATGCCATCCACATGAAAATCATTGAGTTATTTTATGTGCTTATTTAATTTGGTCGTCGTGCTGGGAGTTCAACGCAAGGGACTTGCACTGAAAACCAGTTTGTGTCTTTTAATAACCATACTCAGCAACTTTTAATAACCATACTCAGCAAGGATTAGGCACATTTCAAGTACTAAGTGACCATGTGAAGCTAATGGTTACCCTATTGTCTATAGAGTCAGAACAAATTCTTAGTATCTTGAGAGTGGACAGAAAGAAGATAGATGCTTTGTATGAACAGGGTTGAGGAGTTGAATAGCTCGTTACCAAAACCAGAGACACTAGAGCTGGGCTTTTTTTCCTTTCTTTCCTTTTCAAACTCATTTCTTGGGAAAAAGGAAATAATTTGGAATACTGGGTAGATCGAATTTTACTTTTTAGTTGCCCATGATACCCACATTATATCATTATTTTTCCTGTATGTGTATATTTACATGCTTGTGTTCCCATAAGATTTCAGTTTATGTCTATACCTTTAGCATAAATGCAGTGCCACCTACAATGAAGATTTTGTGCTACAGCTGGAGAAGGAATTGGTCCAAGCCAGACTGAGTGAAGCCGAGTCTCAGTGTGCACTGAAGGAGATGCAGGACAAAGTGTTGGAGATAGAGAAGGTGAGAGACGACATACGTACTTCTGCTTCCACACCTGATGGGGACCATGCTAGGTGCCTTAACTTACCGAGGGACTGAGTTAGACCTGATGGGGGGAACTGTGGATTAGTTCCTGGATCAACAGATAAGGAGATGTCGCTGGTTGGCAGGTGGTAGAGTGCTTGCTTAGGATGTGTGAGATCCTGGCTCCGGGCCCCAGCTCCACATAGAGCAGGTGTGGTGGCTCACATCTGCAACCCCAGGACTCAGGATGCAGAGGACATAGAGCAGGTGTGGTGGCTCACATCTGTAATCCCCAGGACTCAGGGTGCAGAGGACATAGAGCAGGTGTGGTGGCTCACATCTGCAACCCCAGGACTCAGGATGCAGAGGACATAGAGCAGGTGTGGTGGCTCACAACTGCAACCCCAGGACTCAGGCTGCAGAGGACATAGAGCAGGTGTGGTGGCTCACATCTGCAACCCCAGGACTCAGGATGCAGAGGACATAGAGCAGGTGTGGTGGCTCACATCTGTAATCCCCAGGACTCAGGGTGCAGAGGACATAGAGCAGGTGTGGTGGCTCACATCTGCAACCCCAGGACTCAGGCTGCAGAGGACATAGAGCAGGTGTGGTGGCTCACATCTGCAACCCCAGGACTCAGGCTGCAGAGGACATAGAGCAGGTGTGGTGGCTCACATCTGCAACCCCAGGACTCAGGCTGCAGAGGACATAGAGCAGGTGTGGTGGCTCACATCTGCAACCCCAGGACTCAGGATGCAGAGGACATAGAGCAGGTGTGGTGGCTCACATCTGTAATCCCCAGGACTCAGGGTGCAGAGGACATAGAGCAGGTGTGGTGGCTCACATCTGCAACCCCAGGACTCAGGATGCAGAGGACATAGAGCAGGTGTGGTGGCTCACATCTGCAACCCCAGGACTCAGGATGCAGAGGACATAGAGCAGGTGTGGTGGCTCACATCTGCAACCCCAGGACTCAGGATGCAGAGGACATAGAGCAGGTGTGGTGGCTCACATCTGCAACCCCAGGACTCAGGATGCAGAGGACATAGAGCAGGTGTGGTGGCTCACATCTGCAACCCCAGGACTCAGGATGCAGAGGACATAGAGCAGGTGTGGTGGCTCACATCTGCAACCCCAGGACTCAGGATGCAGAGGACATAGAGCAGGTGTGGTGGCTCACATCTGCAACCCCAGGACTCAGGCTGCAGAGGACATAGAGCAGGTGTGGTGGCTCACATCTGCAACCCCAGGACTCAGGCTGCAGAGGACATAGAGCAGGTGTGGTGGCTCACATCTGCAACCCCAGGACTCAGGATGCAGAGGACATAGAGCAGGTGTGGTGGCTCACAACTGCAACCCCAGGACTCAGGATGGAGAGGTAGCAGTTCAAGCTCAGCTTTGGTTATGTGGTGAGTTGGAGTACAGCCTGGTGTACATGAGACCCTTTCTAAAGGGAGAGTGGAAAGGCAACAAATAAAAATAACTTTAAAGCTGCCAATTTAGAAAATCCTTTCATGTGTCTGTGAGTTTAAGACTGTTCTTCACCTCCTCTTCAGTCAGATTGTTACTGTAGCTCTGTAGTACAGCTTGGAAAGGGAGTGTTGATACTTCTAGCAGTTCTTTATTATTCAATATTCTTTTAGCTATTCTGGGATTTTTTTGTGTTTCCATATAAAATTGAAGATTGATTTTTCAATTTCTTTGAAGAATTGTATTGGAATTTTTATGGGGATTGCATTGAATCTGTAGATTGCTTTTGGTAGAATGATCATTTTCACTATGTTAATCCTACCAATCCATGAGCATGGGAGACATTTTCTTCATCTGATGTCTTCTTCAATTAAGAGTGCCAGTTCTTCCTGGTAACTTTCATACAAATCCATACAAATTTCCATATTTAAGAATACAAATAGAGATGAATTCTATCCCCAGAGTCCACATGGTGGAAGGAGAGAACTAACTCCTGCAGGTTCTCTTCCCACCTCCACAGATGTATGCATGCACACACACAGGCATACAAAACTAATTTTTTAAAAAAATGATGTTTAAAAAAAGAAATCTCAATTTTTCTCTGGCTTTAGAGGAACAACTCATTTCCTGATGAGAATAACCTTGCGAGGCTTCAGGAGGAGCTCATCGCTGTGAAGCTGCGAGAAGCTGAGGCCATTATGGGTTTGAAAGAACTTCGGCAGCAAGTCAGAGATCTGGAAGAACACTGGCAAGTATGTCGGACTGTCTGTGCTTTTCCAAAGGAGCTGAAACCAGAGTACTTAGTTTGTGGGGATTTGAAATACCTGGTGACCAGTAGTGGGTGATGGAAAACAGTCTTGCTTAGTGTCACAATTGAGAACATTTACAACTTAAAAGTACATTAAAGATGTGCTTTATATAATTCTTAAAGTGAAACAAAAGATAAAGTAGAAACCAAATCATGTTTTTATTATTGCTTTGAACTTTTGCATTATTCTACTTTTCCTAGAGAACTGTAAAGAAATATTCCTCTTATATGGTACAAAACTTTTCTTTTTTAATAAATATAATATTTTTTTTTGAGAATGTCATACATGTATGCAATGTGTTTTGATCATATTTACCCTCGTGACTACCCCAAATCCTCCCAGATACACAATTTACCTTCCCTCCCAACTTCAGATCTCATTTTTTTCTTTTAAATTTACTAGTCCAATTTATGCTGCCTGTATACTCATGGGTGTGGGGTCATCCATTTGAGCATAATTGACCCACTAGGGGCTACATTCTTAAATAAAACTGACTCTCCCTTATCCAGGAACAACTGTCAGTAGTTCTTTAGCTATGAGTGGGAGCTCAAGAGCCTTCCCCCTTCATGCTGGAGTGTTGACTAGCTTGATCTTATACAGGTCTTATGCAGGCAATCACAGTTGCTGAGAGTTCATGAGTACAGTGGTCATGTCCAGAAGACACTGTGTTGTCCTGGGTTTCTCCAACCTTTGACTCTTAGATTCTTCCCATCCCCTCTTCTACAGTGGTCCCTGAGCCTTGAGGGGAGGGGCATTGTTGCATGAATCCTAAATGGTCTTACAGTAAAAACCCAGAGCTAGATGTTGAGGTAAATGCTGAAAGATCAGAGAAAACAAGCCACAGCCACTTCTCACCTCACCAACTCCTCAGCCGAAAGGAAAAGATCCTGTCTCTACAAAACCTCAGACTGAATGCCGCTGAGTCTGCAGCTGAAAGGGACCTAATTCCTGTCTCCTCCTGCCTTATATTCCTTTCTCTGTCCAGCCATATCACTTCCTGTCTCAACTTTCCTAGTTCTGGGACTAGGCGTGAGATTCCCAAGTACTGGGATTAAAGGTGTGTGCCACACTGCCTGGCTGTTTCTCTTTTAATCTGGATTAATCTCGTGCAGTCCAGGGAGGCACGGCACTCCATCACTTTGATCAGTCGTCAGTTTCTGTGTGGTTGCCCACTGCACAGACTAACCCTTGGCGTAGAGATGGGACTTAGAGGACAGTTTGATACTCTGTTTATTTAGCAAACAAAGACTTGGGAAGTGTGAAACAACTGAAGGGGGACACCAATGTGTATTTGTAAATTTCTGACTTCTTTTGAAAATGCTTATCACAAAATAAATGACACTTTAGGTATAGTCCCACAGATGTATCTACTAGTAAGGGAAATCTAATAAAGAACAAAGTGTAACAACATGTAAGAAGGAAGGAAATTAGTCCTTGATATTGTCATGGCTTTTAAAAAAATGTATTTGGAAAAGTACCCAGCTGCAATAAAGTATCAATTAAGCTGAACATGGTGATGTGTATCTGGAATCCCAGCACTTAGGAGGCTGAGGCAGGAAAATCATAAGCCTAAAGCCTACCAGTAGTACAAACCAAAAGCTTCTCTCAAACAAATAAAATGATCTTGAACAATACTTAAATAAGTGATCTGTAAAGTTAACTTTTATTTTGATTAAGTATTTGCTGAAATATTATGTTTTATGCTTTAGCGGCATTTAGCTCGAACTTCTGGAAGATGGAAGGACCCACCGAAGAAAAATGCTGTGAATGAGTTACAAGATGAACTAATGAGCATTCGTCTTAGAGAAGCAGAGACACAGGCAGAAATAAGAGAAATGAAGCAAAGGATGATGGAAATGGAAACACAGGTATGATGGGCAGGCCCAATTGGATTGAAAGTAGCAGCAGATCAGCCTTACACAGTTCTTTTCTCAGATTTTTTATGTAACTAAAAATAACATTGAAGAGATACTATAAAGTTATGAAGAATGAAAATATAGACTTTGGCTGGGCAGTGGTGGCGCACGCCTTTAATCCCAGCACTCGGGAGGCAGAGCCAGGCGGATCTCTGTGAGTTCGAGGCCAGCCTGGGCTACCAAGTGAGTTCCAGGAAAGGTGCAAAGCTACACAGAGAAACCCTGACTCGAAAAACAAAAAAAAAAAGAAAAGAAAATATAGGCTTTAAATGGGAAATTTAAATTTCATGCCATTATGTTTAGGGGGTGGTAAATGAGTCAAAAATTTAACATTGTATCATCCTTAGAATTAAGGTAAAAAGTGAAGTCTAGACAGCAGTTTTCTAATCCTCATAGAGAAAGCTAAAAGTTACCTGTCGCTTCCTGCCGTTATTCTCTTGGGATAGGGTCTGTCATTGAACCTGGAACTCCAGCGACTTACCATGTTTTACAATTAAGCTACTGGCCAGCAAGCTCCAGTGATCTTCCTGCCTGTGTGCCCAACCCCCCAGCTCTAGGGTTACAAATGTGAGCACGCCTTTCACCTGAGTGCTGGTGATCTGAACTCAAGTCTTCATGCCGGTACATCAAGCACTCTTGCTCACAGCCATTGCCCTGCCTTGTTTTGTTTGTTTTGGGTTTTGTGGTTTTTTTTTTTTTTTTTTTTTTGAGACAGGGTGTGCAATATCCCTGGCTGGCTTGTTACTTACTCTGTAGCCTGGATTAGCTTCAAACTAGTAACAAACCTGCCCCAACCTTCCCAGTGCTGAGATTATGCTTATAAAATACTTTTCCCAGAGATTTAATCTCTACTTTGACCCATCAACAAAATTTAAGCAAGCCAGACTCCATTTGGGTTTATTAGGGTTACCTTATTGCATAAATTAAGAAGGGAAATTTGTGTAGAACAGGGTTCCTCAACCTGAAAACATAACATTTGGGCTAGAAATTCTTTGTTTTATGTAGCTAGCCTGTGCATCATAGGGTGTTTAGCAGCACCCTGGCCTATGCTCTCCAGATGTTGTTCTCTGTAGTAACTAGAACTGTCTCCATACATTTCGGTAGAGAATCACAAGTGCCAACTATAATGTGCATTTTACCTTTCCAAGTTATGTCATGTGATACTGAGTAATAAGTTTAAAATTTAAGTCTAAAATCATCCTCTCAGTTCCCTTTTCTGTGTTACATCCCTATCTTAAATGTATTCGGCCTAAGAGGTGCAGATTCTTTTGTTTACAAAACTTGTTTGCATTGTAAAGGTAAGTTTGGCTTTTATGAATTACATTTGTATGAGCTGTATTTCACGTAAAGGTGTCCTGTTGGGATCCATGGTGCAGATTGTAGGGTCTCTGCTGAGCTGAAGTGTCTTCAGATGCCCAAGTTCCTTAAATAAAATGGTTTATTATTTGTGTACAACATATGTACCTTCTCCAATATACTTCAAACCATCCCTAGGTATAATGCCTAATACAGCACAGAAGCAATAGAAATAATTGTTACACTGTATTATTTACGGAATAATTACAAGAAAAGTCTGCACATGTGCAGTACAGATACAATTTAAAAAATTTCAGTTCTTATCAGTTTGAATTCGAGGATACATAGGAAGAGCAACAGTGCATTTTACTGATTTTCAAAGTATTTATTCAGTCAGTAGGGGGCATAGTTTACTCATGTCTCTCTGTATTCTAGTGAACAAATATAGTCATTCCATGTCAGGCATGCTAATGTGAATATGCAGTGTCTCTAGGATAAACATTTATTGTTTCATGTAATCCAATTACTTTCTCAGAAAGTTTTATTGAAATTAAAAAATATGGAAGAGGTTAAAATTATGAAAAGTAAAAATTAGATTTTATAGTGGGAAGTTTTATTTTTATGAACAAAATTTATATACATGTATGTGTATATTTGTGTATGTGCATATATATGGGGGGTGAGTCAAATTCAGAACATAGTTTGGAGAACCTTTGAAATCTGAAACATTGTCCAGCCATTAAAGGGCTGACAGCTGAGCAGTTAGACACCACAGACTATGTTAAGTGTGACTCAGAAACTGAATCTAAGTCAGAGTGAGAGAGAAGTTGCTGCCCAAACAGGAGAGAGCATTTAGCTGCAACTGGGTAATTTGGGGAAAGGCCTTCCAGAGGATTTGTATTTCAAACTGCTGGACTAGTAGCTGTGACTTTTGCTAGATTTTTCCATGAGTCACTGGTTTGAAAATGCTAGATCGTGGGCTGGAGAGATGGCTCAGAGGTTAAGAGCGCTGGCTGCTCTCCCAGAGGTTCTTAATTCAATTCCCAGCAACCATATGGTGGCTCACAACCATCTGTAATGAGATCTGGCGCCCTCTTCTGGCCTGCAGGCAGAACACTGTATACATAATAAAAATAAATCTTAAAAAAAAAAAAAAGAATATGCTAGATCTTGGACTGGTAGTAATCATGAAGTTTTATGTAAAAAAATTTTTGAAAAGGCAAAACAATAAAGCTGTGGTATAATGGTAGTGGTATATAGTTAGCTACAATGTTATTTTAAACACCAAGTCACTGTCCAGAAGTTTGTTCATGTTGGTGTAACTTCATTTCCTTAGTTAAAACACTTTCAGAACCTTGACTACGGAGTATACTCCAGTTTATTGAGCTGCTCTCTTCTTGTTATACGCACATTTTTTTTTTAAGTTTTTATTTTTATTTTGCAATACAATTCAGTTCTACATATCAGCCACGGATTCCCTTGTTCTCCCCCCTCCCGTCCCCCTCACCTTCCCCCCAGCCCCCCCCCCCCCATTCCCACCTCCTCCAGGGCAAAGCCTCCCCCGAGGACTGAGATCAACCTGGTAGACTCAGTCCAGGTAGGTCCATTCCCCTCCTCCCAGGCCGAGCCAAGCGATCCTGCATAGGCCCCAGGTTTCAAACAGCCAACTCATGCAATGAGCACAGGACCCGGTCCCACTGCCTGGATGCCTCCCAAACAGATCAAGCCAATCAACTGTCTCACCCATTCAGAGGGTCTGATCCAGTTGGGGACCCCTCAGCCATTGGTTCATAGTTCATGTGGTTCCATTTGTTTGGCTATTTGTCCCTGTGCTTTATCCAACCTTGGTCTCAACAATTCTCGCTCATATAAACCCTCCTCATTCTCGCTAATTGGACTCCCAGAGATCCACCCGGGGCCTAGCCATGGATCTCTGCATCCAGATACCTCAGTAGTTGGATGAGGTTTCTAGCACGACAATTAGGGTGTTTGGCCATCCTACAGAGTAGGTCAGTTCAGGCTGTATCTCGACCATTGCCAGCAGTCTGTTGTGTGGGTATCTTTGTGGATTTCTGTGGGCCTCTCTAGCACTTTGCTTCTTCCTTTTCTCATGTGGTCTTCATTTACCATGGTCTCCTATTCCTTGTTCTCCCTCTCTGTTGTTGATCCAGCTGGGATCTCCCGCTCCCCCAAGCTCTCTTTCCCTCGACCCTCACCCTTCACTACCCCCACTCATGTCCAGGCTGTTCATGTAGATCTCTTCCATTTCTCCGTCATTGGGCGCTCCCCGTGTCTTTCTTGGGGTCCTGTTTTCCAGGTAGCCTCCCTGGTGATGTGAGTAGCAGTCCAGTCATCCTTGTTCCACATCTAGTATCCTGCTATGAGTGAGTACATACCATGTTTGTCTTTCTGAGTCTGGGTTACCTCACTCAGGATGATTTTTTCTAGATCCATCCATTTGTCTGCAAACCTCATGATGTCATTGTTTTTCTCTGCTGAGTAGTATTCCATTGTGTATATGTACCACATTTTGTTTATCCATTCTTCAGTTGAAGGGCATCTAGGTTGTTTCCATGTTCTGGCTATTACAAACAATGCTGATATGAACATAGCTGAACAAGTGCTCTTGTGATGTGGTTGAGCATTCCTTGGGTATATGCCCAAGACTGGTATAGCTGGATCTTGGGGGAGATGGTTTCCCAATTTTCTAAGAAAGCGCCATATTGATTTCCAAAGTGGTTGTACAAGCTTGCATTCCCACCAGCAGTGGAGGAGAGTTCCCCTAGCTTCACATCCTCTCCAGCATAAGGTGTCTTCAGTGTTTTTGATCTTAGCCATTCTGACAGGCGTAAGGTGGTATCTCAGAGTTGTTTTGATTTGCATTTCCCTGATGATTAGGGATGTTGAGCAATTCCTTAAATGTCTTATGGTGATATTTGTATTAAAATGTTACTTGTATGTTAATAAATAAAGTTGCCCGGGGGTCAGAGCTATTAGCAAGCCATAGGAAAGCAGGGCAGTGGTGGCGTACACTTGTAATCCCAGCACTTGGAAGGCAGAGCTGGGTAAGTCTCTGTGTGTTCAGGGATACAGCCATTATTGGATACACATGCCTTTAATCTCAATACCAATCATGGAAAACCTGGAGGCCTATACAGACAGGCTGTGAGGAGGCAGTCATGTGGTTGGGTTTACAACCAATGAGAAGGCAGGACAGGAACTCTATATAAAGACTTTAACACAGGGGTAGCTCTGGTTCGGAGAGGTAGGACCACTGCAGGAGGAAGGGTAAGGTTTTAGCTCTTAGCTCTGACCTCTTGGCTTTCTTCTTTGCATTGGTTCTGTGTTTCTTATTTAATAAGAAGGTTGTTTACATCTACAATGTCTTTCAGCCATTTGAGTTTCCTCTGTTGAGAATTCTGTGTTTAGTTCTATAGCCCATTTCTTAATTGGACTGTTGGGCATTTTGATGTCTAATTTCTTGAGTTCCTTATATATTTTGGATATCAGTCCTCTGTCAAATGTGGGGTTGGTGAAGACCTTTTCCCATTCTGTAGGCTGTCGCTTTGCCTTGTTGACCGTATCCTTTGCTCTACAAAAGCTTCTCAGTTTCAAGAGGTCCCATTGATTGATTGTTTCTCTCAGTGTCTGTGCTA